TTTATGGATGTGTAAACCTTACATACCTACCATCACACTTATAAGGAAGAAAAAGACTGAATACGAGATGTTTCCAAACTAATTGGCCAGAAATTCAAATGGCACAAAAGTCGCTCAAGAACTAGGAACCAACTTAGCAAAGAAGCAAACAAAATGTTAGCAAATTCTATTAAACATGCAGGTAAATTGTTATCACGTTTGTGGATAAGTTGCGAGAAACATTTCCCTTTTCTATTCTCATTATGTTTGTGTGTGTGTGTGTGTTTTTCTTTGAGCTTACCTTAGTATATGAATCAAATCAGAGAACCTTGATGCAAAAACAGAACTTATGAAGAAGAGCTAATATTGATCAGAGTCAAGTTGGTGAATATGGAAGAGCACCTAGGGACTGTTATAAAGGAGACGGACTGAAGCAAGAAGACAACATAGAGTATTTGGAGTTAAAATTACAATAAATATTCCACTTTGGTAAGATTTAAATTGAATTGGAACTATGTGGTGGAAAAAATTACAGATATGATAGTAATTTGACATGCACGAGTGAGGCTACACACGTGTCTTTGGTGGTGCTGATGTGTTTGCACCAAAAGGATCCACCTCTGGAGGCTGAATAAAACTGTGTGCTAATGCTAATGCTTAGTTAAACCAACTTATGCTCATTTGAGGTTCCTGTATACCACCGTTATTTACGTTACAAACTTTTTCATACACCCGAATGGCTTTTGGCACTTGAAACCTGGTTGTGTTACAAACTCCAACAACACTCACAAGGATATGTCTACTTATATATACTTCAATATATGGGTATATACTCCCAAATATACAGGTAGATGACTATGTGAGCAAGTCTATGGGGGTGGAACTATCATTCGGCGTGTGACATTCTGAAGCAATTTATTACTTGGATGCTAGATATCTGCAAATGATTTTAACCCTAAGACCATTGTAGATTCAAATATATTTAAGTGGAAATTTTATAATGGAAGTGTCAAAAGCGAATTTCATCTAATGAAACAAGTTACGGTGGTGTGGCTAAAGTCGTCGTCACAAATTGTTTTTAAGAAACATGCCTCTTAACAGCTGTCCATTCCCTGATAGTCATATTTATGGGCGATGTTAAGGAGAAAGCTCAGGTTACAATTTTCCCTAATTGCACATTGATGTATTAAGTATTAACAATCTTCTATCTATAGCTATGTTGATACAATAGGGAAATATTGTGGCCCATATATTTAAATATGCATTTTCAAAACCTTGTGGATTGCATATTTAGAATTCAGCTCTTTTAAATCTTTTTCCGTTGAATGCCAACTACAAGTGTGGAGACGTGAAATTGATTAGAATTCATACTTTTGTAGGATGTAGACCAAACATAGATTCGATCAAGCTTCTGAATGGGCAACAGACTGTTACATTTCAAATCTATCTACAAGAAGTTCCTTGAATGAAATTTGGGAACCTGTGGTTGCATGCACATTGTGTTGAGTTTTCATTCTTTGCCAGCACAAATTGATCTTTTGTTGCAATAATAACAAAATCTTAGACACTGACTCCTTGAAATAAACCGCTATTACACTCTTTGTTATAGTCATGGGTGCAAATCATTAGAGTAGTAAAGTGGGGCAAAAAAAGGTTAAAACTAGCTAAAGCATCTTTTGCTCAAAATCATGGATTATTTCACAACACAAACACATCTTCAGTTCTTGGTCTGAACAAATTGATCCAAGCACTTATTCCACTTAGATTCCAATTGCAAGACAAAATATGTTTGTTTTCAGTTTTGTACTTTTAAGAGGTTCGCTTCATATAGGTGTTTCCTTGATACTGATATAATAATGAAAATCAAAAGAAAATTGATAGTTTTATTGGCATTCCTAAAATAGGGAAAGCAATATCTGAAAAATGTTGATTTCTTAGAGATTTGTTCTTCTTTCTTCTTTCTGCAGTAATTGGAAGGGAATGATGTGATTCTCGGCTGTTCGTGTTGTATCACTGTGTTGGCATGTTGGTCTAATCCTAACAGAATAAAAGTATGAGTTATGAACTGTGATCTATGGTCCCTTACTGGCACCTTGAGTGCATGAGTGTTATCATAATTTGGCTGCATTGTGCATACTGATTGATCGGTGTTGAGTGAGGATTGTATGGTTGGTATTTTTGTTTGGGTTGCCTTTTGACCATGCGGCCCTTTCATACGCATTTTGCCCTTGGTTTAGTAATTGATCAGGGTAAGAAAAGACTTGCTTTTTCGTCTTCTGAGGTTGCTGACAGAATTTGGGATTCAAGTTGTTAACTGTGCGGTGCGGTGCGGTGTGGTTTTGCTCTTTTGATACCCTTTTTGGCATTTTGCTTGCCTCTTCTTCTCTGTTTCAGTCTTTTAGATGCAGTAGTTTTTTCTCTCTTCCACCACAAAATATTGAATTCTTCCAGTTCTCACTAGCTACCAAATTTTATCTGCCTGTTATCCCACCATTCCTCCTCCTCATTGATTTTGCCCCTACCCCTCTCCTTTGTCCACCCTACTCTCCATACCCTAAAGCTGAGTCTTCAAATCTGCTCTGTTCTGATCCTTAATCTCTCTGTTAATTCTTACCAAACACCAGAAGCTCAGGCTACTTCTGTACATTGATGGTTTTTATGACTTTCTAGAGAAAGAACTCTTTTTTTTTTCGCTTGGACTGTTGTTTCTACTTCAGATTGCTCGGACTATTGATTCTAATTTGGATTTTGTGTGGAAGAATAGTTTTTTAATTTGATATGTACAAACCATGCACATTAACTAAACGTTACACCTTTTTTTTTTTTTCTTCCCTTTCTTTCTTTCTATTATTTACTAAACGTAACACACGAGTTAGGAATGTAGGAGGACCAAGTCATGACCAGTCACGTGATGTTCATGTGCTTCTCTTTCACAAAAATGGCAGAGCCATGCCCCACCCATCTTGTAACACCTCCCGCGACCCTCCACATCCCATCCCAGCCAAGCCCAACCCACACTTTACATTTTACATAATCAATCAAAAGGGCCGCAAAACGCCTTAAAACACTTCCCCCCACTAATGACCGCTGTAGCCATTCACGTTCGCGGTTGGGGCGGTGCGGTGGGCGCTTTAACTAAATTCCATCGCCATTGATTCAAACGACCCTTCCCCCCTCCCCGCCCACAATTCCAAGTTTCAAAAGCCAACGACAACGCCTCAGTCAAACTCATCGAACCTCCTCCTCCAACTCCCATTAACTCAAAAACCAACAAAAATTCTAACCAACCCCACAAAACGTCCCCCAAAATTTATACTCTGGGGTGCGCAGCCTTGCCACCCCTTACGCCCCCCTGGCGCACGTTAGCCTCCCCCACCACCCCTCCCTTAGCGGTGGCCTCATCTCATCTTTCTAGATCTCCAAGTCAGCCGCACAACCCCCCATCCCTCTCCTACCCCCCCTTCCTTTTATACCTAATCTCCTCTTTCACCAATAATTCATTATGTCACAACCACTTTTCTCCTCCTCCTCCCTCGGCCTCTCTCTTCCACCTTTTGCTATATTGCCCCCATGGCTACCTCGTCTCCGTCAGCCCAAGACCGCTCTACTCCCCCGCTTCTCGAGGGCCCACCGGCCGTGACCATCGCCACCGCTGCTGCTTCCCGCCGCCTCCCTCCGCCTTGCTGGTCCCACGACGAGACCGTAGCTCTCATAGATGCTTATAGAGATAAGTGGTATTCCCTCCGCCGTGGGAATCTCAGGGCCAACCACTGGCAGGAGGTCGCCGACGACGTCGCTTCTAGGTGTCCCATCGGCAACCCCAAAACCGCCGTTCAGTGTCGGCACAAGATGGAGAAGCTGAGGAAACGTTACCGTGCCGAGATCCAACGCGCCGCCCCCTACGGTGGATCTAAGAGCCACAGGTATTGCTCCGCCTGGGTCCACTTTAAACGCATGGACGCCATGGAAAAAGGTCCCAATTCCTCCGCCGCGGCGGAAGCCGATGAGGACGAAGAAGATCAGGAAGATTCACATGTTAAGCCCATTGGAGATATATATAACACCAATAGCTTGAATCATACGGGCAGTTATATCAATAATAATAGTAGTAATCGGAGTAGTTTTCATGGGGGTATGGTGAACGGGGGCACTGGGTTTCGAATTAGGATCCCCGGAAGGGGGAACGTGGGGCCTGCCGCGGCTGCCAAGGTATATAGTAGATTTGATGAGATGGGTGGGCAAAACCCTAACCCTAACGCTGGTGTAAATTATGGGTCTGCTAAAGCTTTGAGAGATGGGTTTGGCGGGAGAGGTGATATCGGGAAAAGGGTTGTCGGAGGTGATGTGAAAACGGGAGACCCGTTAGCAGAAATGGTGTCGGCCATACGGGTTCTGGGAGATGGGTTCGTGAGGATGGAGAGGATGAAGATGGACATGACAAGGGAAGTGGAGGAAATGAGGATGGAGATGGAGATGAAGAGGACTGAAATGATTCTTGAGTCGCAACAGAGGATTGTGGAAGCATTTGCTAAGGCGATTTCGGAGAAGAAATTGAAAAAGGTGAAGAGAATGCAGAATCAAGAGGGTTAGATGCTGGGATGAAGATGGATTGGGTTGGTGAATTTTGTTGTTTTGATCAACGTTTTGGTGAAGTTCATGTTTAGTGAAAGTTGAGAACTTTGATTGTTTTGGGCAGCCTTGTGCTGTTGGGATGATGACTATTTGAGCTGGTTTCTATACTAAGTTTAGGAGGGTTTCATGCTTGTTTAGACCGAGGACTTCTAATTTTTCTTGTTACGTTAAGTAGGACTTGGGATAGTGGTAGGTTGATCTTTACGTTGGTGTAGCTTCTTAGTTAAATGGCTACCTTTTAATGTAATGTACTAGATATATCGTCACTGAATGTATGAGGGCAGACTCAATTGTTTGCTTTTTTCTTCTGTGTTTGCTTACGCTGCCAATTGTATTAAGGCCATTGTCTTTGAGCTTGAAATATTGGCTGTGATGCTGTTAGAAACGAAATGCTGGTGTGCCTTGATTATGTTAGATTATTGATAAGCTGATGCCATTGGTAGAAAAGCACTGGAAAGTTTGTAGAGATATTGCATCAGTATGGAGTGGAAGCTGTTTATGTCATCGGAAGATTTTTTGTCTTAGCTTTGGAAAGATCATATGGCTTTCAGACGAAGCTGTACATATCTATAGATGTGGTGGTTATTGGTTACCTGAATATTCTTGCCTGTGTGAAGATTGGCAATAGCTGAAGAGTTAACGAGTTTGATGGTGAATTATACATATTTAAATCTAAGATGGACTTGGAGTTTACATGTTGATTTATTTTGATTGAATTGGTTGTGTTTGGGGTCTAGTTAAGTATCTAATCCTTTAGTTTGCTAGATGCAAGTTGATGCATCTGTTTATGAGGTCGAGTCATCATGTCAATGCATTTAACCTGTTGGATGTTACTTTGATAACAGAGAAGACTATGGTGGAAGGGTTGGAAAAATGTGATTTCATCTTGTTTGAGGGTTGGTTTCTATGGATCTGATACTTGAGTTGCTCCTTACTCTTAATTTTATCGTGTGCCTTTTCTCACTCTTTCACCGTGCACACAAACTCACTGGTACTTTTGGCTGTAAAATACTGGCACCATAATGTTGTCGTGAGGGAGTTTGGGCAATCTGATATGCAGATAGTTTTATTTTGTTAGGACCGTTGAATATGCACATAGATAAATGTTATTTCTTGATAGTTAGTAAATGTTATGATGGTTTTGCAAAGTTTGATGAACCCAATAATATTTCTGGTTGGTGGCAAACGGGATTTGCGTGCTGCAAGCCAACACTGTTTAATTTTATTGTTAATGCTGGACATGATAACATCCTTTAGAGCTGCGAGTCATATTGCTTTTTGAATCTGTTCCAAGTTGAACAGTGGGCTTTTTTCATGATGAGCATGAACCTGGAGAACTTTGTGGTGCTGCCTACCTTGTTATTTTCTGATGCTCAACTAGTGTTTCATCAGGTATTGCTCTTGCAATTTCATTTCCTTCTTTGCATGTGGCCAGCCCACCTGGGAAGAAGTCACTGGCTATTGCCTATTGGGGGTATGGAGGTTGTTTCAAATTTTAATCATCTTAACATCCTAGATCTGCATTCCCAAGTCTGAGTCTTACAGGATTTAAGGGACAATTCCTCACATCATTTGGGAGGTTACTTCGTTGAAGCATTGGTACTTTGGCATCTTGTACAGTTTCTTGTTGATGGACAAATCGTATTGTTTAATGTGCAAAAGAAGCTTGAACAAAAAAAATTTTTTTGGAGGGGGGGGGGTGGGTGGGTGGGCGTAGTGTTGCTTGGAAAGTGGAAACAACTCTTGAAGTTTCCACTGGCACATTCATGCTTTAAAGTAATTGAATACTACTATCTTGTGCACTTCGAATGCATTGGACAGGTTTGTAAGTTGGTGTTTACCTGGGTCCTCTATGTGGTTGAGCACTTGAGCCTAGAGCCAATGAAATCACTCAAGTCATTAAGCATTAAGAGTGCTGACAATTATGCTACAAATGCTGGGTCGTTTTGCCCTGTGCCCTGTAATTTATTTTTGTGTTGCTTGTCCATCATCACCGATCAAAATTAACACTTAGTGTTTTAGAAATGGAAATGTTGATCGAGGAATATTGGATGAACTGGTGGGGATTACTGATAAATTGACGAGAGTGAAATAAATAGAAAACTGTTATGATGGTGTATAATTTTTGACTGATAAATGGATTGTTAGAGGAGTGTTTTTGGGATTTAATGATAGTTTGGTAAGTTAAATAGGTAATATATAAGGTTCCTAATAAATGTTAATTGGATAGTTGACATCAACTTTGACAACTGGCCTTGGGGTTACCGGGTTGGTTGAGTGTGATTGGTTACTGAGGAACTGGTAAAAAATTCTGTAAGTTGCTCAATGACCATAAAATTTGCCGAGGGTGAAGTGCTGCTCTCTGCCCCTTCTAAATCCACTGGCAAGAGCAAGACTAGGGGTAGGCGCGGATTGGGTATTCGCGTCATTTACCATTTGGCTGACTCGATCCGTACCTTGCAGGTCAGTCATTTTTTAACCTTTACCTGTTTTGCTGATATCCGATTATTGGGTATTCGTTGAGATAGGATCGGGTTAGTGAGTACCCGTTTCGTCCCATTTATTATTTAATTTTTTTTAAAAAAATGATTTATATTAATTTAATTTTATATTTTACATATTCATCTAAGATTTAATAAATTTTTTTTTCTAAAAAAAGGTTTTCCACCAAGAAACAAGCATGTGAAGAGAATATAAGATAAAGGAAAAAAATTAAAAGAATTCAAAATGAATAAAAGTTTGAAACAAGTAGCACAATTTTTAATATATATGTTCCATATTAATTAAATTTTTTTTTATAAAATATAAGATTATGGCCTCTACAAATGAATCTTGTAAATAAACTATAGTCTTTCATATTTGTAATGCAATTTGTTCAATAAAATTACTTATTTAGTTCTAACTTATTATTTTATAGTGTGTGTATAAAAATAAAAATAAAAAATATATATGCGGGGCAGATCGGATATCCGCAGGTTTTTAATTATGTGATCCTAATCCGTCCCACATCTTAGCTGGTATCCGATCCTTTTTTGACTCGATCAAATAATCAAATTCGGATATTCTAATTTTCAGATCGGATCGGATATGACGGATTTTTGGATTAGCAGATAATTTTGGCCACCCCCAAGCAAGACCACTATATTCTTAGGCTAACTTTTCCTGTACATGCTTTTCTTTAGGTTTTTCACTAGGATTATAGAAGCTATTCTTTAGCATCTGGTATAGAGATTGTCATTTTGGCACCTAAAACCACTAGTACTGGAATAGTACTTTCATGGAGCTGCATTAGCTTTCGACAATTTGACTAGAATTATAAAAGCATTCTTTTGGAGTTATGCAAAAAAATTTTTTGGGTAAAATAAAATCCCACTATGATAACGTCAAAAGACACAAAACTCTCCTATTTTTTTTTTATTAAATCCCCACATAACCAATGTATATTTTTAACTAAGGAGAGGAGATGAATAGAGGAGGAGGGGCAGGAAAGAGGGGAGAGGAAAGGTAGAAATGGGGAGGAGGAGGAGGGAGGGTGAAGTGGGGAGGGGTGGTGGGGGGGGGAAGAGAAAGGGGTGGTGGCTGGTGGCAAGAGAGGAAGGAGAAGGAAGAGGAAGGTGGTGGTGTTGGTGTATTAGTGGTGATTGCGTGGCAACGGGGGAGGAAGAAAAACGAAAGAAAAAAATAAGGAAAGAAAAGGAAAAGAAAAAAAAAAGAAAAAAACTAAGAAAAGAGGGATGGTGTTGTAAAGGAGGGAAGAGGCAAGAAATGATATTTTTTAATAAAAAAAGAAAAAAAATATAAAATGAATTATAATTTTGTCAATAAAGAAGAATATGACCTGCTACATTACTCGCAGTTGGTTAGAAATCACTTTTTCACTTTAATTAACAATATAAGTTGGTTATACGAGGGACTTTTAATAAATGGGGAGGGTTGTATCTTTTGGCGATACATACCACAACGGAACTCTATGTATTTTACCCATTCTTTGACATTTTTGGTTGTCAGGACTGAGGACGTAACTTTATCAGCTAGCAGAGGCAAATGTCTTCAACTACAGTCTAGAGGTCTTATTCAATTCAAGTGTGTGAAGCGGATTGGATTGCTGAATTATTTTACATTATATTTTTCTTTTATAATAAACATATTTTTTAATTTATTTTTTTATATTTTAATTATTTTTTTATTTTACATACATTATATCACAAAAAAATACTATAATAATTATTTCAAATAATACTATATCCAAACACATACATTGCTTTTATCATATTGCTTAAGAGAGGAACATTGACCCAGAGAAGGGGTTGGGATCGGATCACGTCTAAGTTATAGGCTACGAATCTTACAAGTAATTGTCCACATTTCATATGAGTATAAATGGATTATTCAATAATACCTATTTAATAAATAGATATTATTGGATAACCCATCAAATCTAATTAACCATTTAGAATTGTCTTCCCCCACCTATTTTTTTTTTCAAAATTTTCATTTTGTCATGATTTTAACTACTTTTGTTTCATTATTATTATTTGTTGGTTTTATCTTATCATTTTATTTTCTCTTAGTTTGTTAATTTGCTCATTTTTCAGTATTACCAATTTATGACAAGTTTTAGCCTTTTTTCCTACCTTTTCAAAATGAAATTTTAAATTTACACACGAAAAAAATGATAGGGGTCAAAAAAATTTTTTGGATTAATTTTTATATTAACTTTTATAGTACTTAATACAAATTTTTATATTTTTATTATTTAATTATTAAATAGTATGTAATTTTGCGACATAGAGTACATATGAAAAAAAATTGATAATGAGACTTAGTGAGTATTATAAGTAAATATTTAAAACTAACAATGAATGCAAAGAGTGGTATAAATTAATAACTTAGTTTGCAAAACTAAATTTAAATGAGTTTACAAAAAATTAAAATAAATGGGTTATAAATGAATAATTGGGTTACCTAATTCATTTTTGACTTACTCATTTACACCCATCTAATTAAATGGATATAAATGAATTGACTCGCTTATACTCATTACCTATTTTAATTAACCCAAACCCGCCCAAATCACCTATTTTGACACCTCTACAGACAGTTTAATGAGTTACAATCAGATGAAACTCTAACCTTCTTTGACCTTTTTTTTTTTTGTGTGGCATCAATAACTTTTATATAAACTAATTTATTCTAATCTAGAGAGAGAGAGAGGGGAACCTAAAGAAAAAATGTACAAGAAGATAGTAGTAGGTATGAGAAGAACCAGACTAAATCAAAGGGCTTTGAACTTTTTTCATTATAGATGGGAGTCGAACCTCCGCCCTACGATCCAGAAAGGTCCTTTTAAATTCCTTTTTGGTGGCCCTTATTCAAACCTAGTGGTTTCTAGTCTTCTTTGACCACTTAACCTGATTTCATCTATGATACAACTTCTTGTCTTCTAGCTCCATTTTCAAGGTCAACGCAAAAGGATTAGTTATTTTGTCCTTTTGACTTGCATAACAAAAAAGAATGATAGGGACACAAATGTTTCAGTATTTCCTCCAGAATTTTCCAAGAACGAAGAGCTAAAACTAAATAATGAAACCTGAATCATTCAAGGCCCCTGTTGCAAGATTACCTAAAGAGGATGGATTGGAGGCTCATCGAAGCTGCGCAGACAGGAAATGTTCAAGACTTGCATAATCTCATAAAAGAGAATCCCCTCCTACTCAGGTCAGCTCCATTGGCAGTTTCTGAGACTCCGTTGCACATAGCTTGCATAGGAGGCCACATTGATTATGTGAAAGAGGTTTTACATTTAAGGCCGGAGTTTGCTGAAGAGCTCAACCAGGATGGATTTAGCCCCTTGCATATTGCATCAGGTAATGGGGACATACAAATTGTGAAAGAGCTTTTGCAGGTAAATTGCTTTCTGTGCCTGATCAAGGGAAGAGAGAGGCGAATCCCTCTTCATTATGCTGCGATTAAAGGCAGGATTCATGTCATCCACGAACTGCTTTCTGCTTGTGCCGAGTCAGTTGGGTATGTGACTGGACGAGGTGAGACAATCCTTCATTTGGCTTTAAAGAACAACCAATTCGAAGCCTTTGAATTCTTGGTACAGTACCTGTTACGGTCAAACAATGGGGAGATCTTGAATAAGAAGGACCATCAGGGTGAGTCCATTTTGCATCTTGCTGTCTCGAGAAAGCAGTATGAGGTGAGTCGCAAACGCCTTGAATATTGGTTCATTGTCTCGTGATGTTTTAAAGTTCAGCAACTGAAATTACACTACGTTAGCAGGTAATCGATTTCATGCTCGACAAAAATGTTTTTCATGAGGGCAGAGTTGAGGTCAACTTGTTGAACAAGAGGGGTTTTACGCCTATTGATAGCTTATTATCTGAAGGGGGCGATAGAGAAATAGAGGAAATGCTTAAAGCAACTGGGGCTAGAAGGGCAGCAGACTTGCAGCCGTCTCAAAGTGGAGCATCATCCTATAATTTGGCTGTCATAACTCAGAGTACACCAGCTACTCAGTCAAGGAGAGTGCGTGCTCAATCTCCCTCAGAAAAGTTGCTAAACTACTTCAAGTTTGACAAGCTTAGAGATTCTCCAAATGAAGTGCGAAACACATTACTTGTGTTAGCTGTATTAATTGCAACAGCAACATATCAAGCTGTGCTTAGTCCACCCGGTGGCGTTTGGCAAGACGACTATTTGCCTAGTCAAGGTACAGGCACAAACGCCACATCCACCAAACCCCACAAAGCTGGAGAAGCAGTAATGGGCACTCACCGCAAGACTTCTTACGGTCTTTTTCTGATTTTTAATTCAATTGGATTTTTTATGTCCACTTACATGATAAACGTTCTCACTGCTGGATTTCCCTTAAGAATGGAGTTGCTAGTCTCTCTTTTTGCGCTTTTGGCAACTTATGATACTTCCATGGCTGCAATATCACCAGATAAGGACATCACTTTGTGGTTCACCATTCTATCCGCAGTTCTGCCGGTGTTGATACCTATAGTAACCAAGATAATGAGGAATCATTGCAAGTTACAAAAGTTTAGACTACCATGCACAAGCCCTGCAACTGATTGAAGATGGAAGATCTCCAGTTCTGGTGATGTTTTTCAGCATGTATGCAGCTACTTTCTTGATCGCTGTTCTGTATTTCTTTTGTTGGTTCATTAGGACAATCATGTCAATTTATAGCGAGTTTAATCTCATTTTACCATATATTAATCCCTCTCTCTCTCTCGCTCAATTTCTGAATTTTCTTTCGTGTCCACAAGGAGCTAACCTGTTGCTAGGCCGCTAGCAACCTGGAAATGGAATGTGTACAGTTCGATCCAGTCTGAGAACAAATTTGTTCTCGCAGTGTGAAATAGCTCAGTGCTCACAACAATCTCCCTTTTAGGACCAAGGAACTAGTTTCATGCTTTAGATTCATTTGCTCAATCTCTTCCTAGTTTTGTTTCTCATTTAGTTATCTCTTGTTAGTTACTTGTTTAATTAGCTATTCTCAGGCAGACAATACGTTTTCAGCTTTTGGTAATTGAGCTACTTTTTTTATTGAAGAATGAAGATAGTGTCATTAAAGAGAGAGCACTGGTTGATGCCACAAATATAAATTGTTTTACAGGAAATCCGTTCTCTGTCTAAATTCTAATCATTTCATTGTAGCTTTCTGGGCAGAAATAAATTCTGCTATTTTGTACCAGCCTACCAGGTGAATAATCATGTTCGTGATACGTTTCTCTCTTTTAAAATTCAAAAAAAGCCGAATATTTATGTCTAGTGTGGACCAGTTTTGAATGGTTTTCATGAACTTGGCAAGATGTAGCAACGTGTTCATTGCATTTCCTTCCACCTTCATCACATTATTATCACAAATCTTTTTGAATTTTCTTGGGCTGGTAAAAACTGGCTTACTACTTAAGTGGTGTGAGCCTTTGGCAATAGTCTTGGTGTTTTCCCTCCCCGTTTCCCTCTATCCTATATTGATTGTGAGTGGTGTGTGCATACTACTTAAGATTCTCAGTGTAGCCTGAAAGTCAGCATGCCTTTTGGGTTGGACTGTGGGTTTCCTTAGGTAGTGTGTGTGTTATTTACGGTTGTTGGTGGTAAAAACTGGCTTACGGGTTAACTAGTAATTTTATCAATGGCGGGTGAGAGGGCGTTGGACTGGGCAACTGAGATTATTCAAAGTTGGAGGGGAAAACGCAACAAAAGAATAGGAGGGCGGTTTCAAGAAAACCAATGCGCAATACCCACGTATACGCCGGGATTGATACGGCAAGAATTTTAGAATATGCGACAAAGACCAAGACCAGCTCTTCAACCGGGTAATTCTTGCCAATTTCCACTTAACAACCGTGGAAGTTGGTTGACGCAAATTACTAATGTGATTGAATGACTGGTTCCTAAACCCAAATTTTCTAAATGGAATTATTCCAAGGTAGACTATGCAAGTACATATATCTTGTTCAATGAGGCAATGATGCAACTGTGTGCATGACCTTCGGCCAAAAATTCTGCCCGTGAGATTATTAGTTCTTGCCAGAAACTGATATCCTCTAGAATGGAGAGTACAAAATTGGTTATTGAAGCTTCTCGCGAGGGAGATACTGAGATACTAAACAAACTGCTTCAAGAAAATCCATCCCTTCTTGATGATGTTGCATTTGGTAATCCTCCGGAGTCTGTTCTACATGTTGCAATTAAAGGTGGACATGTTAGATTTGTGATTGAGCTTATGAAGCACAACAAGAAGCTGGCTAGAGAATTTGACAGAGGTGGTTTTCGGCCACTAGATATAGCTGCAATCATGGGGAACGTCGAAATGGTGAAACAAATTCTGAGGTTGGATCCTGGATTATGTCTTCTCAAAGGAAAAGGCCAAAGAACAGCTCTCCACTATGCTGCTAGTAAAGGGAACGTTGAGGTTATAGATGAATTACTTTCCACCTGCCCTGATTGCCTTAAAGATGTCACATTTAGTCAGGAAACTGCACTTCACCTGGCTCTAAAATGCTACCAATTTGAAGCATTTAAAGTTTTAGTCAAGTGGCTTGAGATTAACAAACTGCAATCAATCATAAATTGGCCTGATTTCAATGGAAACACTGTTTTGCATATTGCTGCTTCAACAAAGCAACATGAGGTATACTTACACCTATATATAGTCATTTTACTTCTGTGATCTTTAACTAATTCAAATCCTGTAGGCTTCTTCTATACCTTTATACACAACCCTTTCAAGACTTCAATTGATTTTGATTCAATAAGAGTAGTTCAGAAGTGGAAACTTATGCTTTTACTGAAAAGCCTCATATTTGATGTAACTGTTAATTTTCACATTTTTAAGTCCATAGAATTGCTACTCATCTGCAAAGGCATCTGTGCAACCATCAAGGTGAATGCCAAGAACTTTAAGGGGGTGACAGCTGCTGATATTCTTGATATTGTGATGGAAAGTCCCGATGATTTTCATTCAAGACAATTGATCTTACAACATGCAGGTGAGAATCATTCAATAAGTTTTGTTTCTCAGGCCAAACATCAACAAAATATAGCTGATCATCAGTCACAACCATCGAAGGACTGGTTCAACTACTTCAAATTCCAGATTCAAAGAGAATCCCCAAGCGATACGCGCAATGTACTATTAGTAGTTGCTGCCCTGATAGCCACAGTAACCTTTCAGGCGGGGGTAACCCCTCCATCCAGCATCTTAGATATGTCTAACCAGCCAAATGATGAGAATCAAGCTGGTCCGCCACCAGCATCTATTTTACCTCCGCTTAGACAGCGTAATCCTGTAGCTGTTTCTGGTATTGCTGCGGCCTCAGCAATCTTTGGCTCACATGCTACTTCATACTTATTCTTGTTTTCGAATTCCTTGGGCCTCACAGCATCGCTAAGCATCATAATTTATCTCACCAGAGGATTTCCATTCCAAAGAGAGCTTCTGATATGTGTATTTGCTATGATGTTTAGTTATGGCTTTTCAGTAAGTGGTATTCTCAAAGGACAGAAACAGGAAAAAGAGATGGCAGGCTATATCCTTCTAACAGTTGCCTTCTTGTTACCATTTCTAATCCGATGGCTACCAACCTGGGGTAAAATGGCTTGGAAGAAGTGTGCTAGAAGAAGATTTTTCAAAGTAAACATCTTGCCTGTTGACAATTGATGCGATTGCTATGACAATTCTTTACAAAAAAAATACAAGATTAACTTGTGTAGGTGTGTTACCGTAAAGCTCCATAAATTTAAAAATTATGTGTGTCAAATAAGAGACTGTTGCGTGTGAAATTTATATTTTTTATTTAATTTTCTTGACTTATGATGGACATAGTAGTAGCTATAAAGAAAAAAAATGATTCGTGTATCTACAGATATTTGGTCAAGGTATGCCTTTCTATTGTAATAGAGTGACAAATGGGAGTAGATGTTAAATTATACGAGGGATAGTTATTGTCTTGTTGATGTGAAAAGCAAAACATCTCAGTTGGTATTTGATAAGAAGGGAAAATCAAAATTGCGAATAATTCCCATATTAAGTTGTAGCTTCCACTTGCTCGTATTTTGGGTGGAATACTTACCGATTTCATGAAATTTAAATGGAAACTCCTTTGAAACTGCAAGCTACATACCATGCCATGCAATTTCATAGTGGAGAATGGTGATGCTCATTCTTTTCACGGGGCACGCCTAGTCCTAGTCATTGTTGCTGGATTAATATCACCATCGATGATTCATTTGATTGCAATCCAATATCCAACATTGTATACTAAATCTTGCAACAAAAATCATTAGACCTTATTATACTTCTGTTTGATCTTCTCCCACACGAAATCAAAAAATATAAAATTAAGCATTGGAGAGCACAAGCATGCCCTGATTAAGTTTAGAGTAAAGTCATACAATTCACCTGTATCTTCCAATATTAGAGATTGAAATTTGGGTTCTAATTGAAAGTTACAATCGAAATTTTTTTAAGCAAAAATTACAAAAATAAAAATAAAAATCCTGCATTTGCTACGGAAAATGTAGGCTTTTTCCAGTAATATCAAGACAATAAAATATTTGAAGCGAATAACATGAACCAACGTGGTGCATACATTCGTGTAAAACAAAAATTACACTTTCCAACATAAAGCATCTGATTTGGTGATAAAATTTTTTTTATGACACTTTCTTTAAAAATAGGTAAATATTTCTGCATTTTTTCCAAAAGAAGGTAGGAAAACAAAAATGCCAAACTTTTTTTTTTGTGGGAAAATATTCCCCAAATAAGCCTAAAAACTAGGGTAAAAGTGTCAATTGGTTCCTTATGATATTGATTTTTAGGTGGTAAGGACGATGAGTGATAATTGTGGAGGTTTAGGAGGACGCATTAAGTGATATTGCGAAAAATTTCAAAGAAAGTAGTGACACATTAGCAATTATCTTTTGTATTGACACATTCTTAGCTTTGACTTACAACACAATATACTTGAAAAGCGTCGCAATTGGCTTGCTTGGTAGAAGCAGTAAGCATGAATACACATCTATGCAGGTCGCCAAGAAAATTTTAAAGGCCAACTAAGTACTTTTAAAGTTATTGTTGGATGAAATATATGACACTAACTAAGAAATATTTAAGAATATGTAAACTAGAAATGTCACCAGGTGCTTAAGCTCCGAAAATGATGGAAATGGTTGTCCCCTCTTAAGACATGCACGCGTATGTACTTGTAAAACTTGGAGGAGATATTACTAAGATTTGTTTCTATGACCCATTTTAGAAACACAAACCTTGTTGAAGACATCATGAACCGCAAAATATTTAAATCATCTACAAGTTTTAGATAGAAAAAAAAAAAAAGAGTACCTTAAATAAGTTACCGGCGGCAAAATGGTTAAATGGATGGTGAAGATAACACAAAAAAAAAAAAAATGTTTTAGGTATTTTAGACAAGCATCAATATGTTTCCGAAACAACTGTACTAACTACGATGCAATTTTAGACATACCTAGAAAACACATTATACTATGATATATTATGTTACTTAACTCTGAAGTCTTTTATGACTTTTCACATTAATCATATGTTGCAGGTTCTTTGGTCTTTGTTGGCTCCGTGTCTATTAGGCTTATATGAACCATATGCGAGCTATTCAGCTACTGTATTTTTGGACAGCACTAAGCTATTCAGCTAGCATATTTTTGACCGCTCAACTATTTTTTATTTTCAATTGGCCATTGTTGTGAAAAAAAAAATGTGGGTGCTAATAGTCATTTTGTCCAATTAATCGATAATCCAAATGGAATGTGTGCCGCCATGTGCAATGCATATGACAAAAGACGTGGTTAAATTTGTCATGTTCATTTTTTATCACCTTGTCTTCAAAACATGAGAAAATTATGTAGTTTTAGCGCTTTTCCTTTTTTTTTTTTTCTTTTCAATTTTCACCTTCTTCCTCCTCATTGAGTTGGAACAATTGCTAGGCATGGCAACACCACAAAGGCCGCGTGCTGCCGCCACCCACCACCATGTTGGATGGTGGTTTGAGAATAGTCTTTTCCACAACGCGATTCCAACATCAAATTTGGCCAAAATTAAGTGTTGCAGCTACCAAAAATGTTATGTCAAGGTGCTTCC